TATTCCAGTTGACCTATGACATTTATAGTTTTATTCCAGTTGACCTCTGACATTTTAGTTTTACCCAAGTTGACCTATGACCTTTCTAGTTGTATCCAGTATATTGACCTTTGACACGTATGCTTCTTCAGTTCCAGCATGGAGGATTAATGTGATACCAAGTTCAACGTCAGTCGATGGAATTGAGGTGAGTCACAAATATTCTTCAAACCTTGAGATCTTACCTGAAATAAAACTGGAATGAGGTACAAGGTATAAAATACATGAAATAAGGACAACATACATTACTTGGAAATTCTGGTGATTTATTGTCAATTCCAAGGAAATTTATTGTTCGAATTACTTGAGCAAATGAAAGTTTTGAGAAAATGATGCAAACTCGGTTGAATGGTGTGTTATCTTGACACATTCATCAACGGATGTAGGCATTGCGACTCAGAGTCAAACGAGGTACACAGAATGGTGAAACATAGATTTTTGAATACTCGACTGACATTAAAAATAAAAGCAAACTTTCCACTCATTGTGTGGTATATTCTAGCGAAATATAAAATTTGATTTTATGCAGATAGGATTTGTGTTACTCATATGTTGATGACATCACTGACATTTTGTTTACTTCTGAAAACTTATGCAAATAAGGGTGTTTGAATGATGTGAATAAATAATTTACGCGTCAAATATCATATGTGACCAATCAACACGCCATGTTCAATTTCGGAGTGCAGACAAATCGTGTAGCAAATGTACTGGGGAAAAGGAGAAACAGGCTTTGTTTGTTGAATCTAACATCGCCATGAATAATTAATCACAAGATGTAGAGACATTATTGAAAACAAATTGTTGTTTTTCATGAACTTAGGGGTACACAGATGTTAACCTGAAATTACATTATGCATGCAATGGCAGCATGACCTTTAAAGGTCAAATTTCCTATGAGGGTCAAGTATTCTGGTTACCAAACTTCTTTTGTTTAAATTATGCTGAAAAAAAGATGCATAGATGATTGTATAAGGTCTGCTGTCACTCATCAACAATTACATTTCCATCTTCTTCTTGAAAACTACCAGCTCAATTGCTTTAGTACTTGGTATGTAGGTACCTTAGGTAGACTTCTATCAGATTTGTTCTTGCTATTTATTTCATAGTGATATCTTTATTTTTGGCGAATATTTATCATTTTTATCAAAAAAATGCTATTTTCGACTTCTGCGACATCAGGGGAACACTAAGCTCTGCTGAAATAGCAGCTGTTTTGACCGTCTGAAGCAATTTAGAAGAGATTTGCAATTTTAGTTTCATCAGTAACCTCTTGTATATTAAGTAATATCACAAGACAAAGTAAAAATTTACCACCACCTTTATATAAAATCATCTAATGCTGCCTCATGTTTAATCTCCAGGATATTAGTGACGACACTTTTACCAAAAGGCATCTAAAGTATGAGGTGGACGAGCGAAAACGAAAACGCTGGGATATTCAAAGAATCAGAGAGTTGCGGCAGCACGATTTACTTGAAAGGAAGGTCCTGAAGAGAGAACAACTTTCAGTGCAAGTTTTAACAACTTTTAAACCCAGTATACATGAAGGTAAAGAGAATGTAACAGATAATATTGTGGTGTAGCGAAATCAACAAGTGTGTTGTCATGATGGCAATGATAGATATGTAGTTTAGTATTGGCGCTTTGGATAGAAGTCACCTTAATTAATTGTTGACATGCGCCCTCTTTACTGTATATGATTGTAAGTACATTGTATATTTATTATATAACAATAAACAAACAAACTACTTTACATTCCTGATACAGATACAATATTATTAATTAGTCACAAACAACAGATTATGGATATGTCTGTAGTTATTCAGTCATGGCTAAAAACAAAGAAAAACCAAGACAGAGATCGTTCAGTGTATAGCATTACAAACAACCTGCCTGTGCATTTCACAGGTCTTTCGTGTGACTGAAAGTGTTAAAAAAAAAGTGTTTCAATAGTTTGGAAGAGTAAAAGAAAAAAATTGGTCATCAGGTTATCCCCTAGAAAAACATTGGCATGACCTATATGCATTACCATATTTGTCCATATCCTATCTTTCAGATTATATAAAGGTTGTTTTTGTAGTATGCTCAATACTATAAGCACATTAATTATTCACTGGGTTTCAATTGCACTATTTTTGCTGATAGCTAAAATCCGATAAGTTAAATCGACAATAACAATAGAAGTCCTTGTCAGTGAACTTAAAGCAAATTTGCCCAAATCAACGGAATGGTGAAGTTAAACACCAGTGAAAATAAAAGGTTTTACACTAACTTTTAGAGAATGCCTGAATTATAGCTCAATTTTTAGCTCCGCTGTCGACTTAGTCGAGCGGAGCTTATCATATGAGTGATTGTCCGTCGGCGTTCGTCGTCGTCCGTGTCAATGTTTTACTTTTTAGCTCCGCTGTCGACTTTGACGAGCGGAGCTTATCATATGAGTGATTGTCCGTCGGCGTCCATCGTCTGTGTCAATGTTTTACTTTTTTGACTTCTTCTTGAAAACTACAAGCCTGAATGCTTTGATACTTGGTGTATATGTACCATGGGTAGACCTGTCTCGGATTTGTTCATTTCATGATGATATCTTCAATTCTCTAATTTTGGTGAATATTTTTGTCATTTTTGGTAAAAAGTGATATTTTCGACTTCTTGTTAAAAACCACAAGTCCAATTGCTTTGATATTACATATATAGGTACTACATGTGGACCACTCTCAAATTTGTTCATTTTGTAATGATATCGTAAATTTTCTAATTTTGGTGAATATTTTTGCCATTTTTAATAAAAAGTGATATTTTCAACTTCTTGTTAAAAACCTCAAGTCCAATTGCTTTGATATTACATATATAGGTACTACATGTGGACCTCTCTCAGATTTGTTCATTTTGTAATGATATCTTAAATTCTCTAATTTTGGTGAATATTTTTGTCATTTTTGGTAAAAAGTGATATTTTCGACTTCTTGTTAAAAATGACAAGTCCAATTGCTTTGATATTATTACATATATAGGTACTACATGTGGACCTCTCTCAGATTTGTTCATTTTGTAATGATATCTTTAATTATCTAATTTTGGTGAATATTTTTGTCATTTTTGGTAAAAAGTGATATTTTCTTCGTGTTAAAAACCACAATCATTTATGGTGAAAAATGATATTTTTGAATTCTTGTTGAAAACAGCAAGTCCCATTGCTTTGATACTATACATATTGTTCATTTTCTAATGATATCTTCTGTTCTTTAATTGAGATGTGCATTGCTAACAGCGGAGCTATTTCAGCCGACAGGCTGCTTGTTTTATACGTTTTACCCCTGTGGCTACCATAACATGTTCTCTCGCACATCGACCAATAACTTATTTATTCTTAGAGCAATTATATTGATGGCATAATCCTGCTATAATTCCAATCTAGATTCCTTTTTCACAAGTTTGCTCATTGTTGCACCACAGACAAATTCAGCCATATAATATTTAGAATTTTTATAATATTCATTGTATTTTTTTAATTTTATGTATACTTTTTGTATTCACAGCTGAATGTATTGAAGTTCATGACTTGCTTCCGGTGACGGCGTTCGGTAAACCTTTGCCGCCGCTGCAACAAAAGTGAGTGGGTTTTACATTTTCTTTCATCCACGACTCATTAAAAAGCAATTTTATGATAAAGTTTATTTTTTTTCGACCAATATCAAATCTCTAGTAAAACTATCATATTAACAAGTCAATCTTAAACTGAATTATCATGTTTTATTAGTGATGTATATATCATACGTAAATAACTGGTGTCTATGGTTAAAATAAGTTGTATATTAATGAGCCGTTCTACAATGAATTGCAATTTTTTGAGAGGTCCTTCTAATAGAATGTATCCACTATATCTCAAACTGCCGTAAACCCCTTTAATTTTTAAGACAGTTTTGTCTCATCAAGAAACATCAAAAACATGCACATAGCTTCTTCACAATAATTTATGAGAAAAGCTATTTTCTGAACGTCTTTAAAATCGTAAAAATGTCTCAAAAGGGATAAGTAAAGACATAAAAATAAGTATTGTTTTTCATTTATGATTTAGTATACAGCCATTATATTTTTGGATATTCAAGATGAGCTTTTAATAAAACAAATACAGTAGCTGGTTACTGAACCGGTGTAAACCGATAACCCTTCAAACCAAAACTGAGTCAATTCCTTTCACAAACTCCCTGTTGTGACTACATTTAATTCTATTATTGCTAAAACACCAGTGCTGATTTTTAAGAACCGTTTTTAAACTATTTCTCATTGAAAATTCATCTAAAAGTCTTGTAAAATTGTTTTTCACTCTTGCCATTCAACCTGCATGCAGTGTTTCCCTTGAATTCATCCATTCAATAAAGTGTAGACAGTGGTCATCTCTTATCAAGTGTTAACATCTTGTGTGAACACATGGTATCGTTTACACATGTGTATGTGTCATGACATCAACCATCTTTTAGTGATTCTTTCATTCTCTAATCTATCTTCATAATCTTGATTGGTCACTAGGTGGCGCTGTTCATGTTTCTAACTAATACAGCTTGGCCACGGAAATATCTTTTTTGAACTTCATTCAGCACTTCAGAAGTAAGCTTAAATGAGAACTCTATTTTGACTTTCAATTTGGGTTCATCTCGGAAATCATTATTAGTATTTTTAATTGTAACTTTTACTTTGGTTGTTTTTCAAAACAGATTATTAGTAATACAGCATTATTACTTTCAGTGAAAATAGCACTCCCTAAGATATATATATATTATGACACCACTAAATTAGCTAGACTGTAGCAATGTATAAAATTAATTCATATTTTTCATATACAGGCATTTTGAACTTCCGTGGTTTGATTTGAAAGAACGCGAGAAAGAAGAAAAACCACGACAGACGCGGAGATGGACTAAAAAATAACACCATGTGTATTGCTGTTATGAGTTTTGAAGATTTGCTGCATAGTAGTTTAATAGTCGTAGTGTAATGTAGTTGATGGTAGATAGATAGTGGTAGTGTAACTTTATAATGGTTTATTCTTAGTTCTGTTACAAAGATTGTAAACTTTTCGATGAAATGTGGCTGCACATCGGATGCCTTTAACCCATGTGTCTAGAGCTTATACATTTAGCAAAGCAGTATGGATGCACGCTAAACGCTTTATCACATAACTGATCACCGTGTGACTTGTATGTCAAAATTACTTAAATGAATGAATTATGTTCAAAACCCTCGTAATGACCTCTTCTAGAAAGCTGAATCACTTTTAAACTATATATTCACTACAGCTGTTACGTTTCCTGTCAGTGTCAGAGGTCACCTCATGTTATTAACACTCACCTCCTTGGAACAATGTAAAATTCCTTTACAAATTTCACTGATTCTGTGGAGAAAATCTCCTGCCAAGTTCCTGTTTTCTTCAATGTCTCCCCGTATCTTGACCTCCCTGCAGTACGTGAATCCGTTCTTACGTTTCCTCCCCATTAGTGTTAGTCTTTTGATCTCTCATACCAAATTTAACCTCGGCAAGTGAAATCTGAAGTGTGGAATTAAGTGTTAGTTTGCATCATATGTTAGCAATATGAACCTTATTTAAGAAAAGAGTCAGTAGGGTAAAAATATGCGTATTGACGCCGTTACTGTGTGTTGACCCATTAGGTTGTCTAAAGTTTAAGTAGAGGCTGGTACTCCCAGGCTGTATTCACGCTCATTCTCAATACATTCCATTGTTTGTCATACACACTTAGAATCCCAGACAGATGACGAGAAATTTAACTTGTTAAATCATTATGTTTATATACTTGTATTAAAATGTAAATGAAAAAAAAACTAAAACCATTTTTATCACCGTCCCCCGTTTATCCCATCTCCAATGTTGAGTTAATACTTGTCAAATAATTGACCTAGCTGTGAAGTTATCTGTAATAGACTTTAACTGAAAAGTGAATTATTGTTGAGTGGTTCTCATGTATTACGTAGATACGAAACCTTTAAACATAATTCTCAATAAATGAAACTAAACTATTATGTAAACGATCTTGTTTTTTCAAAATAATTACAAATTCAGCTACATTGTGATGGTTTTGCAAAAGTTGTTTCAAGTGAATCTGTAATCGATAGTATTTCAAGCTACAAGTATATTTTATATTGACTCGTACTGTCCCCCTCCCAACGTGTGCACAACACCAACTTTCCAACTTACATACACTCTGAAATATAAGCATGCAAGAAGATTTCTGTCCAAATAGTCAAATGATTTTGTATTCAACCAGCTTTTGATTCAATTTGTGTGAATCTTTAAAATGCTTGTTTCTTAACATGGCTGTCAATATACATGTATAATTACAATGAGGAATAGAACTTTTTTAAGCTACGCAGTCCCTCTATAGGCTAGAAATGGTTATTGTTTGATTTACAATCTTGTATCCAATGCTTTAGATGGTTACCGCATGTGAACTTTGGTGAACATGTGAGCGTCCACCCAATTTCTCAGATTACTATGGTTAGTCTTTTAATTGATGTTGGATAGCTTGAAATAAGTTTGATATATGATGGGCTAGTTCACGATAGATTCTTAATTGCCTGATAGGTGTGAATCACTATATACCTGTCATGTGGGCTGTTTGAAGGACATTCGACCAGTTTCCAGACTGATCTATAGAGGAACTGTGGTACAATCTACATACATTTAATTTTTTTTAACTTGATTATTGTATCTGTTTTTGTAGAGATGTGCATTAATCATGTAAGTATATTTTTGAACCAGCTGAGTAGTTGTGTTATAAACTGTTGTAATTTGAATGAGGGATTACGATGATTGCAATACTTAGTGTATGTCAGCATGCTCTCTGTGGGTCTATAATGAAACCAGTATGTCAATTGTGATTCGCAAACATACAACAAACTACTTCTACTTTTATATTTCACCCACCTTGTCTAGTTTATTGACCTCTTCAAAGTGGTATTCATTTAAAACATCAGGTTATTGTCATATTGAGTGATTCACTATGCATGTTTTAAACATGGCATGAGCTAGTTTTTTTTTGCTTATTGGCCAGTACAGCAATTACAATTTAGTGTTTGAAGGAATGTTTGAAGAGTCATGTTTATTGCAATAGAATTTTGTGTGAACATGTTACGTGTAGCATGGGACCCACATCGAACTGCTGCTCTTAAACTGCATTTTTGAGAAGCAAGACTAGGAGTTCGGTTTCGGCGTGACAACTCATCATAACATCATAGTCTGCTTGTGTTCAAATTTGTTTAAGTTGTGCAGCGTTTTTGAAAGTGAGTTCTGTAATTATTCTTTAATGAAGTTCTTGGTGTGCCCAGGGTATCATAAAAAGAAATGGCAACTTTCTCAATATTTTTTTCTTCTATTTTTCATGGTTGTTGAATGCATCCAACAATATATTTTTACACACAGGTTTGACTGGCATGTTAAAACTGATGCTAAAAATAGTGAAATAGTTTCATATTCATTTTGTTTCCAAGCCTGACACTGAGGGCAGTATATATAACAGTGCTCTCTGTGGCATGTGTGTCTATTTGTTTTTGCATTAATTGCTTTGTATATTGTATAACGTTCTGTTATAAAGAACATTTTTGTAAGTAGAAATATATTCTGTTACCATGGTTTTACAGCTATTACAAGTAATGTTAGAGTTTTTAAAAATAAATCTACAGATTTTGAATTGTGAAATAAATGTTAATTAAAAATCTTTGGAATAAAAAATGAAGAGTTTGTGTATTTTTGTTTCAGTTTCTAAATAATGTAATCCTTAGTTGAAACTGCATCACATGTGTTAATGAAATAAACATGGTTTCTGACCCATGCTATTAATAGCTCTATGTTGTATGTTATGACAATGGAGGCTGAAATGTTTGTCAGTATTGTTAGCTCAGAAAAATGTTTCTCGTTCAATTTGTCTTACAAAATTATTAAACTATGTTGATTATGCTACATAACTTGAAAATGAGTCCACATTTTTAATGGACAGGCAAGGTCCAACATTTTTATTTTTTCTGGGCCATCTGAGCAATATACACACCACCAAATGTTGGAATTGAATATGGTTAATGAGTGATTAACTGCAGAATATATATTTAAAGCAAGCATGTTCAATTGTAGATTGAGTTAGGAGGCCTTTTTTTCTGTAGGTCAAAGGGATAAGGCCCTCCAATATTCTTAAAATTTCAATTAGCAGGAAAGTCAGGACAGAATATCTACTTTTATTTTGCTTGAACAAAAACTTGCTTTAACATATTTTGTATTTTATCTCGTTCTAGTAGTGATGCTTTACATATTTACAAAGTATGCAACTTTAAGCACTTGCATATTGTGAATTCAAGAGATGAAATTACAACCATGTGAAAATGTAGAAATGTGAAAATAATTTATTGCTTGTGATGAACTTAAAACCTAATGAACCACTACCCCAATTTGTTATATAACCCCCATGTTCACAGTATGACGGATTATATAATGTCTGTTGGATTTAGTAATCGTCATATTGTACACCACGTCTGACCTATTAGAAGAAGTACTGAACACAATAAAATGCAGAACACATTGTCTCGTAATTGCTCTTTTAATTACATTAACTTCTAAGTTCATGTTCAACAAAGTACTGTTTTTAGTTCCCGTTCGGACGCAGTTCGAAAACGGGGACTTATGTTTTGACGTCCATGTGTGCGTGCTTGCGTGTGCGTGCGTGCGCGCGTCTGTGCGTGCGTCCGGACCTGTATCTTAGAAATGCCTGGACCAATCACAATCAAACTTCACACATACATCATACATGATATTATACATATGCACGTCAATTTGTTTCACGATCTGATTCAAGATGGCCGAATGGCGGCCATTTTTGTGCTAAAAATCATCATAATCAAGCATTTCTCGGCTGTTTACAGATGGATTTTGTTCAAACTTGGTATATACATTAGACATTATGGGATCTTGATGCAAATAATTTTGTTTTTCAGATAGAATTCAAAATGGCCGACTGGCGGCCATTTTGTATTAATGAATGTGGTTCTCGTGCCATATCTATGACTTGCTTTCACTGATTATGTTCAAATTTTAAATATTCATCATGTCATAGATAAACAGATATATTGGTTTGACTGTCCTATTCAAAATGGCCGAATGGTGGTCATTTTTGTGCTAAAAAAAAATATCAACCATTTATGGGTGGATTTCGTTCAAACTTGGTACATACATTAGACATTACGGGTTCCTGATGCTCGTCATTTTATTTTTCAGATTGGATTCAAAATGGCTGACTGGCAGCCATTTTGATTTAATGATTGGGCTTCTAGAGCCATATCTCTTAAATGCTTTGACTTATATTTAAATTTTATATATTCGTTATACATCATGTTATATATATATACATGTATTCAAAATGGCTGATTTTGAATGCTGTTCCAGAGCAATATCTCTCAATATGGACAAGTACTTGTTTGACGATCAGATACAAATGTCAATTATTTTAATGTTAAAAAATCATATTCCTGACATGGTTGTATTCTAGCTATAGTACTATAAACAAAACTATATATCTTAAATTTGATAACTAACGGGGACTGTGCCATGCATGGCTTGTTTTAATTGAACTTACTGTTGAGGTGATTTTTATTGGAAACTGAGTTCTAACTGCTTGTTTAATTAAACTTCGGTCACGGGGAGTTTACTTAGTTTTAGTCTTGCCCTTTGCCATGCTCCTCTAATCTGGAATTCTCTTCCCATTGAACTTGGACAACCATCAAGTGGGAACATCTTTCAGCGTGGCGTAAATTTAGCATGTTACGACATCACATTGCGATGACTTCTTTATTTATTATAATTATAGAATGTACATTACACATTCTGAGAAGAGTGATTGTATACAACTCATAGTTACCCTTTACGTAGTTTTGAGGTACATTTTAATTGTTTTCTCCAATCGAATGTCGTCAGAACGTCAGTCATCCAATGACGGTATAAACTCGAACACAAGGCCACCATATAACGGACATGGTTATTAATTAAATTATTTTTAGAGAAGTCACGTGATTCATCGTCATCTTCATGGGTGTGGGGTCAATTGGTGTCAATTGATCCACGATCCCTTGCGCGCATACTAACAAACTCATGACTGCCAGTCACGGTATTTTTTAAAAGATCGATTACACCAATAAACTTCCATAATGAACTATTTCACATTGATTCAGTCTTATCTTGTCGACACTAACATAATTAATGGCTTTTAGAACGCTGTTGATAGACTCACGCTGTAATTCAATTGACGAAGATTGAGTGTATACATCTGTCACATTGACTGGTGCGTCGTGGTTGAATCGTGCTCTGTGTCCCCCTTCTGTGCCCTAGATGAACATATTGGTATGTTGAGGACGTGATCTCAGTGGAATAAATTTGTGCTTTCTATTTCCTGTGCTCAATTTCTAATTATTACGCCATGATTTCTACTCTCCCTTCATTTGCAGGCCACTTTCAAATTAAACTAATTCTCTGTTTTGTCAGTGCATTTTTAGAAGCTCTAAGTTTATAATCATTTTTGTAGCGAAAACCACGCCGAAAGTGGCCTGGGGTACCCTGGTAATGGGACAATGCCGCGAGTACCTCCAGATCCCCACCACTTCCGAAATGCGAAAATAGATACACCCACTTCAGAACATTTTGCAAAAAAAATGTATATCCATTTACTGAGTAGATTTCTATTTGTTGTCATTTGTTTTGTGACGTATGATATATCTCCACACTAAAATAAAGATGTTATAAAGCCAGTCGAAAAAGGTTATTTTCAGACCCCCCCCCAGACTAAAAACTGAAAAATTAGACTCCATTCCAGGCCAAAATAAGACGGTATGCCTGTGTTAATAGAATTAGTTTGTTTAAATTGAGTAAATTGATGTCAAATATCTAGAAAGAACGCATGCAAATTGGTTGACCAACAAGTGTGTATCCGGATATTACGACTCATTCGTTGGTGGAAAACTATGAATGAATTATGTTACATAGATTTTTCACCCGTGAGTGCAACATGGCAAACTAGGACCTGTCGTCATCTGTCGCATTTGTTTTTCCCTTTTTTTCAAAATAGAGCATTATCCTTCGTATCGTGGTCTGGTTGAACTGCATCACTCGTACCATTGAATATTTCCTATGATGTTGGCGTTTCCATGTCCCGGATGTGATGACGTAGACGCTAATACCAACTCAGTAACTAGTGATTTAAGGAACCAATTTATATTTGCCAGCCAATTTATCAACAAACACATGAATATTTATATATACAGCAGTGGATGCGAAATATTGTAGAATAGTTTAAAATGGTTATCCATCCTTGCATTCTGGATGTGGAAATTAGATAGATGCCGGCGACACACCCCTATATTTTGTTTAGGGTAGCGCGTGCCCAGCAGTGGCTCTGGGTCACGGCGATATATACACAATTACTGGTATTAAAGCGTAAGGCACGAATCCCTGGGATTACATCGCAACTAATTTCTGTGATATTATGCAAATATTATATGCTCAAATAAAGCACCCTCTTCTACATAGGTCCAAAATAATTAAGAATATAAGTACTTAACTACCATTGACTCAGCTGTTTGGTAATTGTACTGTAATAACACGTAACAATGTGGAAAGGTGACGCCCGCTACGTTTTGAAGCGTTATTGAAGTCTAAATATAGCATTCCGAAAACAAACAAAAGATTATATAACCAATGTCACCCATTCCACGTTTGATTTACAATATACCGAACGCACGGCTTATTTTAACATTGCTTCTGACTCATCCGACTGGATAAAAGAAATAGAAAGTATTCACAGTGGAATGTGGTGCTTGCTCTATTTATCGTTCCACCTCCTTACAGGGCAATTTCTGAAGGAGATATATTTTTATCTCAGATATTTACTTTTAATGGTAATTAGACGTGCCAATGACCATGGTTCCTAAGTACACTCCCGACATAGCTTACAGAAGCGTTAACAGGTATGTCGAGATAAGACTATTTTTAATTCTGCGTTGTTTTTATTCAAACCGGAAGCCTATAAATCTTCAGTCTCATT